TTCCTTCCGCTCTCCTCTTCTCCCCTTCTGAGGGGAGCTTGTTGTCTGTGCCCCCTGGCCTCCTCCTGTGTCTGGTCCCTGCCCAGATGCTGCTTCCTGGGCCTCCAAACCGTCACCCAGCTGGCCCTCCTCTCAGCTCTCTGTTTTCCCCAGTGATCAGATCCTGGGGGTGACAGGGCTTTGCCCCTGTGGCTGTTCAGAGGCGCAGAAGTGGCTGTGGGGCGGGCCCTGGCCTCCCGCCTCCCTCTCTTCCTCACTGCCCTCCCTCCCCCCCTGTCTGGCTGGCGGTCCAGCCTCCCCCTTCCTCCCCCCACCTCTCCAACCATCGTGCGCCACATCTGCTTCTTGTTAACTCCGGGAAAAAGAGAAAAAAAAAGTAAAAACAGAAATATGGAGTTGCCGCCGGGCTTGGGGCCAACCTCTCAGAATGGGCCACACAGAGCAGAGCCAGGGCCGGAGCTGGGGGGAGGCCTGGGAGCTGGAGCCACAGTGCTCCTGGGGCTGGGGCAGGCCTCCCTGGGGAGAGAGGCCCCGAGAGGAGCCCAGGGCCGGAGGAGGGCAGGGCCATAAAAGGGAGAACGGACTCACTCACCACCGGCTGGTGCAGTTGCCCCTTTTATAGATGTGAAAACTGAGGCCCAGAACTGGATGTGACCTGTCTGAGGTAACACAGCAAGTCGAGAGCAGGACTGAGATGAGAATCTAAATATTAGGTCAGCGACTTGAGAGGAAGGAGGAGAGGAGAGAGGGCTACTGGGCCCGGGGGAAAAGGAAAAGGACTCCACTGAGGCGGGCAGGTAATTCAGAGAAGCCAGAGGAGGGAGAAAGGAAAACCTGGAAAAGGCATGAACAGGCTTCTGTTGAGCATGGAGAAGAAAGATGTGGGCAGGAGGAGAAAGTCTCATTCTCAAAAGGCCAACTGGATTTGGGCCCTGGCTTGTCTTGGTGAAGGTCAGCCTATAAGTCAGGGAAGGAATGTAGATCAAATTTATCTATATAGCCCAAAGGAAGTCACTCCCCAGCCTGGAGACAAGTCTGAGAGCCTCTGTAGCAGGCCAGGTACTCAGTCATACTCAGCCATCAGCCTGACCCGAAAGCTCCTTGGAGATATCTGACTCAGTTGTTCTGGACCAGGTGTCCCTGTGTGTGGGGATGCTTGGGAGAGTGAAGCAGAAGAATGAGGCAGAAGGGAGAGGAGGGTGCTGCACCCTCACTGTGGAGGTCCCCAGGTAGGAGAGGCATGCGTAAGGCTCAGGAGGGGCGCGGGCCTGCTGGGGGATGGGCTGCACCGAACCAGACACTGCTGCAGGCAGGATGGACAGGGTGCCAAGGGCCGGGCAAGTAGGTATCGTGCTCCGGGTAAGAGGAGGGGAAAGTGGGCTGGCTGCTCGGGCGAGTCAGAGAAGAGCTACTGGAAGAGAGACCCTGAGCAGTGTCAGGGGAAGAATGTAAAGAACAGAGACGAGGGGCGAGGAGAAATTTCAGACTGGGGAAAGTGGTCCGCCTCAGTTTCCTCATCTGTACCTTGGGAGTAATAGTAGTGCCCTTCTTCCTAGGTTTGTGAGGATTAGGTTATTATGTGTAAAGCATTTAAAATAGTGCCTGGTGTGTGGCAAATGCTCAATGAATGTTAGTTCTTATTTGTGTCAGCATGAAGTGAAGAGAAGCTGATTGTGGGAAAATCAGGGAGAGGCTCAGATGAGTGGTTAAGAGCATGGGTTACAAGTGCTTGAGTAAGGGGTCAACACACGCAGAAAGAACACACTGTGGGCAAGAGGCCTAGGCAAGGTGTCAAGGCACAAGGACACTGGCTCCAGCTCCTCCTCAGAGCAGTGCTCCCACTGAGCAAATCCCATGGCTCCGCTGGGAGTCTGTTGTCTGTTAGTCATGTAAGGTCCCTTCCAAATTCTACACTGCAAAGTGATACAGACTTGGAAGAAAAGGCTGTGACTGCTTGGTGACTACCTGGGCAATGAGGGACCAGATGATGGGTGACACCAGAGAAGATTCCAGGGTTGAGCTAGGATGGGGAAGTTGAGAAGAGGAGCAGATTTAGAGGAAAGAAAGATGATCTTAGTTTGGACATACTGAGTTTAAGATGAGAGTAACACATCTCAGGGGAAATAAATGTCTAGGAGATGATTGGAAATGTGGTCTTAATTCTGAGAACCATTTGCAGGGCAATGGTTGGAAGCCATGAGAATGGATGCCACCAGACCTTCAATGTGACTCTGAGTGATCTGCCTCAGAGGTTCTATGACCCAGAATGTGATCCTGATGGCTGGGAGCAATGTTGGTGAAAAAACAGGATGGTGCAAATGAATGCTGGAACCAACAGATATGGAAATTTGTAAGTGCCCCTTAGAGGGATTAGCACACAGGGAGGTGTGGGATTAGCACACAGGGAGACTTGGAGGGAATGATCCTAGGAGAGCGTGATTTCAAAGTTGCTGTCATTGGAAGATTGCAGCTTTATCCCTGGTCACTGCATCAGCTCTAGGCCCTGGCCCTGGTCTTGGCAGGAAGCCAACCCACTTTCCTTCCAGGTTGCCGTGGCTGCTGCTGTGGGTTTTCTTTTTCTGCTCTTCTCTCGGGCATCTGGCAACCTGAAAAGTCATCCCAGCCATCTTGTCACTGCCCAGTTGTAACCATTTCTTTGCCTGCCCCCTTAAATTTAAAAGTCTGTTGTATTTTAAGTGTGTCAAGTCAAAAATATTGGCTTTGAAATATAATTGCAGTAGGTTGCATATCATTTAGTCCTGTAATTAGGAGCTATGACCTAGGAGTTGACATGAATATTTGTGAGATCTCAAAGAAGTCAGTGGCCCTGGGTTCCTTGGGGAAGACAATTCCTGATTCACCGGGGAGGCCTGAGGTGTTGGGCGAGCAGGCTGCAGTGGAGACTAAGGTTAGAGAGAATGTGGTAGTGGTATTAGCAATAGCCAGAGTTAAAAGCAATTGGCAAGAGAATTCCCGAGACCAAAAAAGGCTGAGTCCCTGGCGGCACAAGGACAAGATCTATTTTATAACTTCTTTAAGATAGGGGATTTCCAAGGGTCTAGGGCCAATGGGAAATTTTGGCTCTACTAGGCCAACTAATTCAGTCAATCATCACCAACAGAGCAATGAGCTTATGTGCCCAGAGCTAGGGGGCACCAAAAGCAAGGAGCCTTTTATGTCTAATGCCTTACGTCAGAGGGCTGAATATTGGGAGGGGGGAAAGGGGACTAATATGAATTGAGCCTTTAGATATGAAAACCCAGATAGGAATTCAAGCTCGTGGGGACTCCTGAGCAAATGTCTACTCCTGCTCCAATGCATACATTTTTCTTTTCCTTCCACAGGTACAATGCTTTAGGAGCCAACCTTGCTGGGCTCAGGGCCCAGTCCCCCTTTCCCAGGTCTTGTTTCACTACTGAGCCTAATCCTGACCACGTCTTCTCCTTGAAAATGTCATACTAATCAGAGATTATGCTCCACACGTGCTCCCCAATCTGCTTTCTCCCCCACTTCCCCTAGGATGAGGCTTCTTCTCACTTCCTATATACTTCTCCACCCAAGTTTTTTTCAATTTTTTAAAAGTTTTTAGATGAGTCTAGTTTAGTCCTAGAGACCATTTCCAATTTCAGTTGCTCCAGGCACTAAGCCAAATGACCCACTCGAAGCTGATAAAGACTCGCTGACCTGGGCACAGGAAGTTCTGGGAAGTGAAGGACATTTCTGGATGGCTCTAAAACAAATCCTTGTCCTCTTGATCCTGACCGTAGGATGACCTATTGAGTCCACAGTCTGACATGGAATCCCGAATGAAGAAAAGAGGATCGGAAGACACTGATTTGACCAGGATTCTACAATGAGTTGTAGAATCCTGGCCAAATCAATTACCTTCTGGGCCTTAGTTTCCTTCTTTATAAAAGTATCTTGAAGGCCCCTTTCAGCTCTGACAGCCTAAGATACTTTGCACTGTGTCAGCTGGTTGCAGGACAGCCTTGGAATCTCAAGTGCTTCCAAGGTCTTCCCTCATGTCATATTCATACTAGAAAGTCTACTTTTCAGAGTCTAATTCTAGAGATCTAGTTCTGTCTCAAAAGTAGACCTAAGTGTCTGGTTGGACTTGGATCTGCTTCAAATTTCCAGGAGACACAAAGCATAATGTGTGTAATCTTTTAACTCTCATTCTTCAAGAGCAGAGCTGGGAACAGATTGCTCACTAAGGGACATGAAAAAGTATACATCTGGGGTTTCACTGTTTTGTGGAAGGGCTGGGATTCTACATAGGAAACTTCTGGGAAATACTGGATAGGCGCTGGGGTGGGGCAGGGTGTCAACTTGGGGGAGGCTAGGGGAACTACAGATTGTTAAAGGCTGAGTTAGGAGTCACTGGGCTGAAGCATGGAAAACAAACTGTTGATGGTCCCAGGCCAGGGGAACTCACTCTGGGATAGTGCACCCCAAGCACACAGGGCACACAGGCAGCAAGGTGGCCCCCTGACCCAGCTGTTCCAGCCCCACAGCAGCTTCTGTAGTTTTCTTTGGCTCAGAGAAGCAGAGGCATCCCCTGAGCCCCGGCCCCCCTCTACCGCAAGCAACTGGCTTCCATTACCCCTGACAGCTCCAGAGCAACAGCCCAGCCCCCCGCCCCAGCCTGGCTCAGTGCCGTTCCCTTTTATGGTGAAGCTGAGAGAAAGGAGCGAGGGGGGAGTAGTTTCTGGCTGGGCAAAGGCTTGTAAAGCCCGAATGCCTCACCCTCAACCAGAGACCCTCGGACATCTACCACCATCATCATTCTTTCTCCTCAGTGACCAACTCTGCCTCCAATCCACAACACCTCTTGCCTGTCCCACCCCTTCCTCCCCTCCCCTCCCCTCCCCCTTACATCCTGGGGGGTGATTTCCCACTTGGCCTAAGTCCCACGGTTTGGGTTTTGATTCCGGGAGGGTCCGCCCTATTTCCGACGCCCACCTCCGGGGGTGGGTGGAAGGAGGGAGCCCGGGTAAGGGCGGCAGGCACTGGTAAGATCATAGGCAGGAGGGCTCTACTAGGCGTATGTCGGGCAGAACAGAAAGGCTGGCGCTGAGGAGAGGAGCACCCAGCCGCCCCAGCCCTCTGCACCGCCTCTCACCTCTCTCCCCGCCGACGGTGCGGGGAAGGGACCCTGAGGGCAAGGCCCAAAGGAAGCACCTGGTTGGGCCGGGCGAGTTAGCACAGGGTGGGCAGCGGGAGGCCAGAGCAGGAAGGAGGGTCGGAGGCTAGGGGGTCAGGCCGGGCCTCCCGCCCTGCCCGGCCACCGCACCCTCGCCCTAGACCACTCCTCGGCCCCGGGTAAGAGGCCACAGGGTTGCTAACCGCGTCCCCAGCTGCGCCAGCTGCAAGCAGCTGCGCGGGGCCGGCCCGAGGAGCTTGTCTCGTCACCCGCGCACCCCTGAGGGCGGACCATCCTCCGGCAACCCAGTCCGAGGCCCCGCCCCTTGAAAAGGCGCCGCGGGGAGCAGGCGAGACGGCGGGGCTAGAGAGCCCGTTGGGGGCCCCCGCCGCACCGCGGAAGTATCCGGTTTGGGACTGGGCTGGCGATACAAACTTCCGGTCCAGGTCTACCTCGAGCTAGAGCGGGCACCGAGAGGGAGCCAGGCCGAGCTGATCAGGTGAGGGGCACGCAAGCGCGGTCCACGGCCCTCCAGACGGTGGCTTGTCCAGGGGCTGAGGACGAGACCCGGCCTGGGCGAAGAGTGGGCCGGCCCGAGCCTCAGTCCCTTCTCTTCTCCGCAGGATGATCACAGACGTGCAGCTCGCCATCTTCGCCAACATGCTGGGCGTGTCGCTCTTCTTGCTTGTGGTTCTCTATCACTACGTGGCCGTCAACAATCCCAAGAAGCAGGAATGAAGGTGGCGCTTTCTCCGCCCCAGGTAACGGTCCGGGGCTGCAGCGCCGAGCTCCCCGGAGTGTGGCGAGGCCGCGCCAGGGCCTGCAGGGTTCGAAGCTTCAAATCAGAATGTGTCGGGCCAAGCATGATACAGTCCAGAACCGGGCCCCTTATTCGCAGAGGAGTGCCTTGCAGTGCCCCGTCTCCTCCCCCTTAAACTCCTCCCTTCTCGAATGGGGTGAATTTCCTAGTCTCCCTCAGCCCCCGTCTTCATATGGTCCCCAGATCCCCAAGTTGGGGGTATGGGTACAAGGAGGCACTGACACCGGTAGGAATAAAGGTACTGAGGCAGCCGCCCAAGTATGAGAATTGGGCTCTTCACTTCGTTCTTTTCCAAGGTTGTTTAGGTTTTTATTTAGGCAGAATATTTTTGTCAGGGGTTGTGAAGATACAAAATTCTATTTCCATGTTTAGGAGCAAGGGGCCCGATTTAGGGGTTGGCTACTGAAGACTCAAGTCATAAAGAAAGGTGGGGGTGGGAGGAAGGCTTGGAACCAACCTTAAGTGTGAGTCAAAAATGTAAGGGGAAACAGTCTGATGGGAATTGATTTCTGAAGGAATTCCCCAGAGGAAAGCTACAGCATTTTCCTTACCTCAGGTCTTTCCCCCTCTTTTCTAGGGTTCCAGGACATAGTCTGAGGCAAGATGGAGGGTGTGAGGGGCCTTCACACTTTACTTCATCCCTTCTACCCATCACAACATACAAAGCAACTACACCTGGATTTTTCCAAACAACTTTTATTTTCCTCAGTCTTTCTTAATCCTATGGAACAAGAAGCTGCCACTGGATAGGGCCCAGTATAGGGGCTGCTTTCTTTCCTACTCCCTCCCCCCAATATAAAAAAATATATATTTTTTTGTGGTCCCCAAATCTTGTGCTGTTGAAGGATGGGGAGGCAGGTCTCTGCTTTGTCCTGTCTCAAGGTGATGCTCTATGATGCCTCAGAACAGTGTGGCTGGAGTTCCAAGGAGTTATGGTTGTCACAAGGAATCAGCGGCTGAGGGAGGAGACTTAGCACATTTTTCACTGTGCTTCCCACTTTGGGGCTATATCGTGGGCATGAAGGTCAAGGTATCAGACCCGGGGAGAAACAGTGAGTGGGGGAGATTTAGGGACAAAACAAACCTCAGGTTGGCCCAAGGGCCCCCCACTGTAACAAATCCGGGTGTGGGAGTCAGACAGACTACAGGAAATAGAAACGGCAGGGGCAGATCGGGGTCGTGGGGGCCTGGCCTGAGGCAGCCTGCAACAGAAAAGAGACAGGAATCAGGGTTGTAAAACTCTGTCCCTCTTTTGGTCTGTTAGCCGGGGACTGGAAGATGAGAGAGGTGAGATGGGTAAGGATACGTGGGTTGAGTATGGCACAGGGGTCTGATGTTGGAGCCAGTCAACATCCTAGGCCTTAGGCCCTAACTAGGAGATGCTTTTTTGTCCGTTGGAATGAAGACTAAAGCCATGATGGGGAAAAGATGGATTAGATTCTTAATGAAAGTACATTTAATCTTTTGAGGTCAAAGGAAGTAGGGAAGGAAGAAAATGATCCTGAATGGCAGAGATGAGAATGAGGGGAGGGCAATGAAAGGTGGGGTGAGGGATTGGACCCTGGTGCTCACCCTGGTGCAGAGCAGGGTCCCGGCTCTGGCTTACTGCTCTCCCTGGTCTGGGGAGTAAGGGATGTGGGGCCCGAAGAGCCTCTCATCCCTCTGCAAGTTGGTGGTGAGCCCAGGCCCAACCTGGGCCTAGCCTGTGTGGACAGAGGGTAGACTAAGAGACTGGATTCTTCTCATGAACTATTTTGCTCCTAGGTTTGCTTTTAGAGTTTCCATCCGTAAGAGTGTAGTATAGGGGTCAACATAGGTCCTGGGACCTTGAATTCCTGGGTACTGTTCCTAGGTGAGAAGGTAAGCAGGGTAATAGCTAGAGAACTCTTGGGTTCAGTCTATGACTACATATTATCTAGGGGAGGCAAAAGGATCCAGCATTTAACCTCCATGCCTATACCAGAGCCACAATCTGGCTGAATCACGAAGCACCATGTGGAAAGATGTGGTGGATTGGTAGATCTCCCTCAGAGCCTTCTGTGCCTCAGCCCCGGCCAGAACAGCTTTAGCTTCAACCCATCCAATCAGCAGCTGCCTGTACCAAACTTCAGCCAACTTTGCATGGGGATCTGCACTGAATTGGACTTGGTGGCACAGCTGTCCCTAGGAGCAGCAACCAGATATGTTACCTGGGGAATCCGGGACCCCTCCTGGCAGGAGTTCTCCTCGGGCAGGTCTGGGCAGAAAAAGAGGAGAAGCTAAGGGCAGGGGCAAGCAAAGCCAAAGCTGGCAGGCTGAGGTTGGGGTATAGCTGCCAGGGACACAGGCTGGGACACAGGCTGGAAGCAAGCAAGAGACCTGACTGAAGGGATGGGGGCAATGGACAGGCACTCAGGCACTACAGCAGCTCTCTGATATGTTGTGGGGAGAGGTGGTAAAGCAGTGCTGGGTACTTTCCCTCCCACTACCCAGCTGGACAGTGCCATGTTGGGCTCTGTCAGACTCAGTATGCTGGAGACTAGGGAGACCCAAAAATGTTACCTGCAATCGGGTCCTGATACAGGGGATCTGAGGTCCAGTCCCTAGCAGACCTTTCCCAATCACTATGACAGACTCTGGTTTGTCCCCTGAGGACAGGAGTGAGCAGCTACTCCCTAGGGAACAAAGGAAATTGACATCAGGGTAGGGGCCATGGAGAGGAGGGGTAACTCCCTTTAAATCAGGGTTTCTCAGTGTTGCAGTATTGACATTCGGGGCCAGATGATTCTTGTGGGGAATCATACGATGTTTAGTAGCATCCCTGGCCTCTACCCACTAGATGGTGTTTTTATCATTTTCTCCCTCCCCATGGCAGTAGCCAAAAATACCTCCAGACATTGCTACGTGTCCCTTTGTGGACAAAATCACCCCCAGTTGAGAAGCATGGCATGCTCTCATCTGGTCCAGTGGGTGGAGCAGTAACTTGGAGCTTGAACCAGAGCCCACTCAAGCTGATCTACTCTGTGGTAGACCTCAGAGCCTATCCCAATCAAACGTGTAAGCACTGAAGGATGAAGTCAGCAGTACCCAACACTGGTGGATTGGGGGCTACTCATTGAAGAGAGTTCACAGATTGGGAGTAGTGGGCTCTGAGGAAGGTACATGTTGGATTGGCGAGTTAGAAATCATTCCCATCCAGTCCTTTCACAGCTGTGTCTATAACTTGAGAGCAGACAGAAAGCTTGGGTTTTATGTGGATGATATGGTCATAGAACATTTGCAGTGATGATGACAGGTGAAAGCGCTATAGTTTCTTTTTTTTTTTTTTTTCAGTTTTCAGTTTTGTCTAATGTTGCCTAGCTCCTAGAGGCAGAGAACTTGAATAAGTAACAGGCAGGAAAAGTCCTCAGGTTCTTCATCTGTAAAAATGAGGATGAAATAAGAACATGCTTAGAGTAGTGCCTGCCCAGTAGGAAACACTCAATAATGATAATTGCTATTTTATTATACAAAGACCTTCATTAAATTCCACCTCCTGCACAAGAAAGGACATGGGTGTTGGGGGTTTAGGATGACCCAGGAGGATAACTGTGCCCCTGGTCTGGAGTGGCCTGCATTATATCAAGCCAAGGAGGAAGTTCAGATGTGGTGGCAGCAGAGCTGAAGGGATTTCTTCAAACCTAGTCAGGAGCCTTGTCTACACTGTGGGTGGTAGGGAAGGAAGGAAGTTGCTAACTCATACTTGAGTGGCAGCGCGTACAGACCTGATAAACTGAGTGCACTGGGCAGTAGGCAGGAGCCCATGTTGCATGAGGAGGCTGGGTGAGAACTAGCAGGAGTGGGGGCTGGGACCAGGCGGCTTGAAGCAGGGTGATGGGTCAGTGGCTGCTGCCGCCGTCTCCTGTCCTGGCTCCGGGGCTCTGAGTAGGGGGACACAAGCAGATAAAAGGGCAAATAACTGAGGCACTGTCACTCCACTGCCCTGCTGGCCCTCCTTGGCCAGAAGATGCCTGCTTTCAAGCTTGTCATTATACCAGTGTCCCTCTTCTAAAGTAAATGTAAGATGGGTTAGAAACACTTCTAATATTTACTCTAGCTATCTAGTTCTCATCCTCCTTACCTCTTTGTAGGTTAACCTACTCACCTACCAGTTCATTCTTCTGGCAAAGAAGTTACTGAATTTGGCTTCAACAACGCGGCTTCCTTAGGTTCTCCTCTTACCTCTAAATGTTCCTCTTTAACTCCTCCTGCCCATGGTGCCCCAGCATTCTATCCTTGGTCCTCTCCTCTCCATATGCTGACTCCCCACATCTCCCTCTAGCTAAAGAGGAGAACTCTCCGGAACTGCAGTTCTAACTGCCCACTGGCTTTTCTATCTGGCAATCTCTCACACCTGACAAAACTCATTTTCTCCCACCCTTCCTTTTGTTCTCCTTTTCCTGGTGAAAAATCTAGAAGCATTGTTTTATCTTTCAGCCTCTCCCACATACTTATTTTTGCATTTAACCAAATCCAGGTAATTCTACCCCTCCCTTTGCTTGAATTCCCCCTTCATTCTCCCTTGTCATTGCTAGCACCCAGATACAATTCTTTATTTCTCATTCAGACTTCTGAAAAATTGTTCCCCATTGTTCTCCCTAGCTTGAATCTATTCCCTTCTATAATCCATCCTTCACAGAGGTCCCAGAAATTACTATTCTAAAACAAAGACCAGGTCAAAAATCATATTGGCTCAGCAAAGAGGAGATTCTTTTTAAAGGATAAAATCTAAACCTTTTAATGGGGCATTCAAAGCCCCACCCACCGTGGTTCCAGTCTACACATCCTTAGTAGGATGCTGACTTGATCCTTCACACAATTCCTCTACAGCCCCTATATAGCTACCAGCTGCAGCAACTGAGACCTTGGACCTCTTACTTGTGCCACCTCAGATGTCACCTCTGTGAAGCCTCCTTGACCATTACAAGCAGAATTAATTATCCTCTGTTGTCCTTTGTTCCTTTGGCTAGTAATTGTGTATGGTTTCTATCTCTTTAATTAAATAAGTTATTACATATAAAGTACTTAAATAGTGCCTGGCACATAGTACTCACTAAATGTTAGCTAATGTTCTCTGATTGGAACTTGAATCTCTTAAGGGTAGGGACCTTATCTTCTCCAATACTATATATGCCAGTGCCTACAAAATACTACTTGGAAATCCAGAGACCTTAATATTTTGTTTTCCTGAATAGCAGACAGCCACTATAGGCCATGAGCTGGCTCAATAATTTTCCTCAGTCTAAGGGCATATGCTTATTCCCTGGATCCATTCCCTGTGGCTAGAGCCTCACTGCTACAAGCTCTGAGAGTTTGGGTCCCAGTGGGGCATACAGTGACTGGATGGGGTTAGGGAGGCTTTCAGGTTTGGCAAGTCCTTCCTTCTCACAGAGGAACAGAGATGCTGAATACTCTCAAATCAAATGAGCTATTAGCCTTCATGAAACTGAATTCAGTGGAGGTTCCAGGATACCAGTTGGCCCCTAAAAAAGCAATATGTGTTATATGTGAAATGCCTTCAACTTAGGAAGTAGGTGACAATAATTTCATGTCTAGCTATACTGAGTGCTAGTTGGCAGTAATAAGGTCCCAAAACAAATTTTTAAAAATTGAGACACATGAATAAAGACTAGAAGAAAGGGAGAGATCTCAGGATAGAAGCTACTCTAGTTTTGAGGAGTTTGCTGAAATGACAGGTACCAATCAGAGCCAAGAGTCAAAAATAGCCAGACTCTGGGGGCTAGCTAGTAAGAGTTGACCTGGCAATGCCAAAAAGACAACAGAAATCAGACTCAT